GGGGGGAGGCAGGGAAGGGGTAAAAAAATCGCCCCCCTCCCCAACAGGAAACCGCCCTGAATCAGCCTATGATGACGTATAGGTTTCTCAACCTTTGCCTTGATCGAAATGTAAGCGAATATGGGACAAGTAAACAAGCCAGATAGCAAGAATCAAGTCCACCTCTTGTTCGGCATCGATGGGTTTAGGCCAAAAAATTCAAAGTTGTTATAGCAAATACTCATACTATATTCTCATGCTCACAAATCAAAGCCCTCCCCCCCCCTCTTCTCGCCTTCTCTCCCCTCCCCCCCTCCCCGCCTTCTACCCTTTTTCCTTCCCACTCCCTGAAAAATTTGCAAAAACACTCTATCAATCTGCAACGGAGAAGTAAAAACACAAGAGAGTGAACAAACTTCGCCGCTAGTGCATTCCTGATTGTTCTGATCACGAAACATGCCCTGAAAGAAAGCGGAACGGGCTGAGAGAATCGAACGATGACATTTGAACGCACGGCGGCCAACATTAAGCGTGAAATCCGAAAAGTCACCTGTGTCCAGCAAATGTCCTAATTCACGTCCTGAAATAATTATTAACGAATAACAATGCTAGCCACCGGGGTTAGAAATTGATGAGCCAATCTGACCTTGGATGCCGAAGTGTCAAGCGCGCACTGAATACAGAAAACAGGAAAAAAACGGGGAAAGGAGGCAACAGAGATAAGACATGGTTTCGATCTATTAAGTCATATACGTCTTAACTCAACACTGCAACTTCACGGTTCTTATAGGAATTTGCAACTGAATGCTACTGAACACGCTAAATTATACAGTGCCGATGCGGTTGAAGCCGATCACAAATCAGAATAGCAGCGCGCACCGGACTAGTCCGTGCGATCAAGCGTTTTGTGTAATTCAGCCCGTCGAAAGATTGCCTATTAATGATTTTCACAGCTTAGTACTTAAGTCTATGCAGAAATAGTTCAAACATTGGGAAACATTCAAAAATTACACGCTCCAGCGCATGAAAGCTGAATTCGAAGCCTTGAAGAGTGAATATCCTTCCGTGACTCTCGAGTTAATAATTTACCTGCCAAAATTTTCACGAGGCCGCAG